TCACTGAGTTGCTTAGGACCTTGCTAAATTGCTGAAGCTGGCTTTTTTGAATTTGAGATTCTCGTGCCTCAGCCTCCTGAGCCTAAGATGTGCATGATATTAAATTCATTATCTGTTTTTTTGTTTTACAAATTTTTCTTGAGATATTTTGAGACTATGTACATACAAATCTAGGATTGTTAAATCATCCTAATGGACTGACCCATCATTATGAAATATATTCCTTCATTTTCTATTTCTTTCAGTGCATTTTACTGTAAAGTGGAAGTTGCCTGATATTAGCTTAGCAAACCATCTTCCTTTTAGTTGACTTTGCATGGTATGTATTTTGTAATCTTTAATTTCTTTCAATCTGTGTGAAACCTTTTATAGTGTATCTTCATAAGTGATTTTTTTAGTGTACTCAGAAATCTTTGCCTTTTAATTGGATTATTTATTCCATTACATATATTATAATTACTGCTATTATTTGGTTTAAATATACTATCTTGCTATTTGTTTTCTATTCATGTTCTTTGTTAAGAGAGAGAGAGAATTTTTTAATATTTATTTTTCAGTTTTTGGCGGACACAACATCTTTATTTTATGTGGTGCTGAGGATTGAACCCAGCACCCCACACATGCCAGGCGATCGAGTTACCGACTAAGCCACATCCCCAGCCTTCTTTGTTCTTTATCTGTTTCAACTTTTCCTTTTTAAAAATAAACCAAGTACTTTTTATTATTCCATCCAACCTCATCATCTTGTATCGTTTATCTTTTTATATATTACTGTTTTTATTTTTCTTTAATTGGTTACCCTTAAAATTGCATTTTCATTCTCAAATTACTGTTTACCACAAACTAGTATTTACACTACTTTCCAAACATTATAAGAAGCATACAGTATTTTAACCACATTCACCCTGCACTGGGTATTACAGTTACTAAAATAATATTATTTTCTTCTGCTCTTTATTCTTTCCTGCAGATTCATATTTCAATCTAGGATCCTTTCTCTGCAGCCTAAAGAACTTCCTACAATATTTTTTTCTAGTTCAAGTGTATCATTGACATTGTTTCAGCTATTATTTGTTAGGAAATGTATTTGAACTTTAATTTTGATAGAATTTTTGTGTGTGTGTTTAGACGTCTAGGTTGACTCTCCCACCCACTCTCAATTTTGAACTTTAATGATATTCTCCCATTGTCTTCTGTCTTCCATAGTTTCAACCGAAAGTTTTGTGTTTTAAAGTCTTATTGTTGGTTCTTTGAAGGTTATATATTTGTTTTCTTAGGCTGCCATAAAGGTTTACCTTTCACTTTAGATTTCAACAATCTAATTATAGTGTGTCTATGTGAGCTTGTTGCTGTTTTATTTTGGCATTAATTCTGGTTGGGGTTTGTTGAGTATCTTGAATCTATAGGTTAATGTCTTTCATCAAGGTAATTAATAGTTGAAAAACTATCAAGTGTTATGTCTTCAACTATTTCTTCATCTTTTATTTTCACAGGCCAACTCTATGTATGTTGTAGTGTTTAATCCCAGATTTTCATTACCACTCTGTTCTGCTTTTTCTGTATTTTATTCTCTCTAAAATTGTGTTTGATTTTAGAGAGAATACTATCAGATATTGACTTTTCCCAAGTCTCACTAATCCTGGCTTATTCTGATCCTACTCTACCATTAAACCCATACAACTTTTTATTTATTTTCTATTTTGTAAATTCCCATTTTATGATGTTTTATAGAATCTAATTTTCTGTTGAAATTCTCTGTATTTTCATTATTTTCCTTTGATTTTTTTACTATATTTATAATAACATCCTTAAAGTTTTAGATTGCTCCCTTGAATATCTGGATCATCTGCTGACTTAATGTCTTTTTTCTCCCCAGTTCTGGGAATTGAACTGAGGGTTTTGCACATGCTAGACAAGCATTCTACCACTAAACTACATCTCCAGCTGTAAAACTGAATTCCCCCCCACACAGGAAAAGAATTTATATCTTCTATTAATTATATTGAGTAAGGAGCAAATCACCCCCAAAGCAAACAATTTGAATTGTTTCACAGCTAGTTTGCAGTTTTACTTAGACTCAGTCTACCTGTTTTCAGATCTTTTGAAGTGGATACCTTTGTTTCAAGCCCCACCTCTGCAGGGTACAGAATCCTAAATGCATCTTTGCTCTCTTCTGTTGACTCTCTGCTCCTTAAGTAATACCTAGGCTTTGATGGCCTTATTTTTTTATATCTTTATTTTTTAGTTATAGGTGGACACAATACCTTCATTTTATTTTTATGTGGTGCTGAGGATTGAACCCCATGCATGCCAGGGGAGCACTTTACCTCTGAGCCACAACCCCAGCCCCTGATGGCCTTAATTTCAATCTTTTGCTTTTGGGGTTTCCAGATCTATATCTCTAGCCTTCACCTCTTCCAGCAGAATACAAAGGGCACATTCCAACAGGTTATTTAAGGAAATTTTAATAAAGGGATATATACAAAGGTGTAGGCAGAATTAAGGGAAATTAAAAGATATGGTGAAACTCCCTTGGGATAGCAACAGGTGGAAACTGTTACCACTCCTGGGCCTGAAGGGGCAAAGGGAAGGAGCAGTTACTGGACCTAAATAGAAGTTGTATCAAGCTTATTGCTGTGGTGTACACCTATAATCCCAGTGATTCAAGAGGCTTAGGCAGGAGAATTGCAAATTTGAGCCTCAGCAAATAAGCAAGACCCTGTTTCAAAATAAAATGAAAAGGGCTGGAAATATGACTCAACAGTAAAGCACTGAGTTCAATCCCCAGGACCAAAAACAAAAGAGTAGCTATATTAGTGAGTTGTATCTTTTGGCAGTGAGATCCCACTAACCTGTATGACCTTGTAGAGAAGAAGCCAGAGGAATAAATCTTACCCTTCTTCCTCTCTTTTATCTGTCAGAACCCTTCCCACTGGGGGGAAAAATTGGAACTTAGAAGTCAAGGGTGACAGTTGATGTAGTTCATAAAGGCCACCCTTTGGGACTCAGAAGAGTAAGAGTTGGTCTGGAATGGTCAAATAGAATCATAGTTGGATACAGTAGGGCATGAAGTAGAGTAGAAAGGAGCCTTGTGAACCAGGTGCTAAATTCAAGATCATGGAGAAAAGTGACAAAGAAGGGTTAGCAAGTTATAGCAAAATGACAGTGGTGTTAACAGCAAGAGTCAGGATCAGGTTTGTGTTTCATGGAGTCCAAGGATGAATAGCATGAATGCCAAGGTAAGCCAGGGAGCAGGAATTTTTATTAAAAGGAAGGTGAAAGACTCAGAAATCCTGATGCAGCGTGCTTGGGAGGGGCAAGAGTGCTGTGTAAGTCTTCCTTCTTCTAAAGGCACAAAAGAAGAAGTTGATCAGCTTCTCTTGATTGGTTTTTGATGTTTCAATTATACCATAGCAGGCACAGGCCAGATTATGAAGTTGCTCTTCTGAGATGGAAACATGCCTTTTGAGAAATGGGAACTGTTTCATAACATGTCTGGGCATGTTAAAATGGCTTTTCTTGTGATCACCCTATGGTCAACCTTTATTATCCCTTATCTTCTCTCAACTGCCTATTCTTTTCTATCTCAGTGGTAGAGGGTTACATGTATATACAACTTCAAAAGGAATATTTTTATGTGAGATTGCAGAATAGCTGTCTGGAACAGGCATTGAGCTGGTGAAATTATATGGACATTAGAAAATGTGGAGGAATAGAAGAATAAATACCATCCACTTGAAAGAAGTACAAATGAAGAACCAGGCATCAGTCAAGGTCAGGTGCCAGTCAAGACCACAGAGTAAAGGAAACTTTCAGCAATGGTATTTATTTACTATTGTTTTATGGGGCTACTTGGAAGATAGTAGAAAGGGACAGAAAAACTGAACACAATGGGGATTAAACAGACACTTAATAGTATTCAATGGGTGTTGGTAATTTGGTACTACTCACCCCCCACCAGGGGAAACTGAATCAGTCCGTATTTTTGACTTTAGTGACTAAGGAGTGTGTTGTTAGCAGCATTTAAGATTGAGGAACTAGGAACTGTAACAAGAACACACAATTGTTCTTACCCAAAATGTTATCTCCCATTGGTGACTGGAAGGGTTTATTTTTTACATCACTAAGGATTACAGAAACATGGCACTTAGTGTTAGTATCTACTCTTGATGATCCAAGGAGTGCAATGTCACATTACATGTGGCTTATGGTACCTACAGAGGGAAGTGGTGATTGCCTTGTGTAGGGACTCAGCAGTTTGGACTCCATATAGTTTGTGAGGGGAAGATCCCCCTATTAATGGATTATTTAAAAAAAAATAAACTCCCTCACTTACTTGTATCTAAATTTTTAATATTCATTATAAGTAGGGTTAAAGAATAGGCTTGAGGGGCTGGGGATGTGGCTCAAGCGGTAGCGCGCTCGCCTGGCATGCGTGCGGCCCGGGTTCGATCCTCAGCACCACATACCAACAAAGATGTTATGTCCGCCGAGAACTAAAAAATAAATATTAAAAATTCTCTCTCTCTCTCTCTCTCTCTCTCTCTCTCCTCTCTCACTCTCTCTTTAAAAAAAAAAAAAAAAAGAATAGGCTTGAATTATAGACTGGCTTCTCAGTACCCTAACAAGGAAATATGTATAATCAATGCTATGCAAACCTTGAAATTTTTCTTAGAAACATTTCTAATTGATCTAGTTCATATTGGAGTCATAGGTTAATCAGTGAGTTTTTAAGTGGGAAGGAACCTCAAAGACCACTTTAAATTCAATGTCATGGTTCTCAGTACTTCAGTGTAGAAATACAAAGTGTACTTTGATTTTTGACATTAATGCTATGCAAATAAATGACTGAATACTTGAAATTTGATTTTAACTACAATTATAACCTTTAGAGATAAGTTTAAAAATGGACCAAAGTGTAACTAAGTAAAATGGGCAACTGGTTACTTCAACTCCCAAAGCATTTATAAGGAAAATTTTTTACTTTGCAACTTTCAGTTTTAGAGAAAAGACTTCATCATCTTATAAGTGATGCGGCTTTCTGGGTAACTGACATCTTCAAAGAATTTGACTGGACTCTCCTTTTCTTGAAAATGAATAGACATTTTCTTGCTCTCCACACTCATGAGCTTCACGGACAGTGGGCCCAAGTTTACAAAATCCTATGATGAAGAAACACAAGAGGAGTGGTTATCTAGCAAGTTAATGTTGAAAGATTAGGTTTTCTATATTATAGTTGGCCTTTAACTGGCAGATTCCATAGCCCTCTGCATTATTACCTGAATGCTGTGTAACACATGAAATATGAAATCCATTATAAAAAAAAAAGAAAACTCAATAAAAAACACTTTGTAAGTTTACATGCCTGGTAGGGTATAGTAGGTAAGTATCCTAAAAAGCAAAAGCAAGGCTGGTTTCTTGTCTCATAGGGAATTGAGGTAGGTGGGATACTGGCTAGAGGGGAAATCCACTGCAGGCTTTTAATTGGAAAAAGAGTGTTGGCCCTATATGCATAGCCCTCAACTGGCTAGGATATAGCCACAAAAACTTTTCTGTATTGTTCAAGAACCAAGGGGAAGATTCTGCAAATAATATTTTAAATATCCTAATACTGGACAACTTTTCACATTCTTCACTGTTTTCCTGGGATATTTGGATATCATATAAATAAAGCTTACCACATTTTGCCAAATTGGTCTAAGATGTCAATAAGCAGAATTAGAAAACTAGTTTATATGACATTCCATAGCTAACCCCAAACTCTGTTGAACCAGCTCAGGTACTACCCAACATTCTTTCCTCTTGGAAACCTCCCAACCCGTAACCCTTGCTTTTGAATTCCTTTAACACTTCAGCAAACCTTTCCTGAGTGTCCATGTATCCAGTGCTGGGTTGCAATAACAAGCACATAGACCCGTCAGAGACACAGATACAGGAGATACATTTCCTCTTGTGTAGTAATTGTTGGTATTCTTATTTGTCTTCCATGAACCTCTAAGCAATTTGGGGGTTGTGCCTACTATACAGGCATCTTTGAGACTTTATTTTCCTGTTCTCCTGCTTAAATTTCCAAGCATCTAACAAGTACCTGTCATGAAATGAGGTTCTCAATATTTATTTGAATTAAGGTTGAATGAAAAAAAGAAAGCAGTGTTTATTTCTCAAAAATGAGTAGAGTTGTATTTAGTTTTCAAAATATATAATTTTAGAGCTAAGATAAATGTAAGATAGGAGGTCTATATGTTGCATACAGTGGCCATGGCAGTTTGTATGTACCACAAACTCATGAACAGTAAGAATGCCTTTGGGGCTGGGGTTGTAGCTCAGTGATTGAGTGCTTGCCTCGCATATGTGAGGCACTGGGTTTGATCCGCAGCACCACATTAAAAAATAAATAAATAAATAAAAGATATTGTATCTATCTATAACTAAAAAAAATATTGTAAAAAATTTAAAAGAATGCCTTTGGAATTCTTTTTTGCCCCCCTATGCTGGGGATTGAGCCCAGGACCTTGTGCATAGTAGGTAAGCACTACCACTGAGCCATATCCCCAGCCACAAGCCCCAATTTGGGGATTGTATAGACAATTGTCCTCTAGCCTGAGATCATCATGATATACCAGAATTCATGATTTCAAGGTCCACATGGAGAAATTTGAATGGTAGACTAAAACGTCAATCTTTTTGATGGTGCTGGGAATCAAACCTAGGACCTAAAGCATGTGAGGCAAGTATTCTACCACCAAGCTGTTTCCTAAGCCCCTGAATTTTAGTCTTTAAATGATCACTTGATGGTAGCAAGGACTGAATTGTAATTACTTAAAATAATGATTTATTTCATTTCTTCTGCTTTTATGCATCCTTCTTTCTCCTACCAGACTTTAAATTCAAGAAGAACTTTTAAATTTTTGGTGGGACCAAGGAGGAAAATAGCAATAAATGAACATGAGGGTAACCAGAATATACGAAAAAGAGAACTTCAAATAAAAAGCCTTTATAATMTAGGCTTCAACTGATGGTATATGTGAATGTTTGTGCTTTCCAAAGATGCCTAATATATGTCCTACCCCACATGCTGTTCCTACAATGTGATGGTAACCCTCCCCCATGAAGATGTAACAGCTGTGTTCCTTCTCCTTGATTGGAACATACATCAAGCAATAGAATATGATGGAAATGATAGTATATGATTTTCAAGGCTAAGTCATATAAAACATTGCAGGTTTTATCTTATGCTCACTGTAGGAGAAACCATACATCATAACAAAGGGATACTCGCACCCACTGGAGAGGCCCTTATTCAGAGGAACTAAGATGCCCAGTTTATCCAGCATCAACTTGTCAGCCATGTAAGTAATCCGTCTCAGAAATGGATATACTTCAGCCCTACCAACCCTTCAGCTTACTGTAGACCTAGCTGACCGTGTACAATTGCCCAAGGGCCCAAGTGAGAATTATCAAGAAATGTACTTCCTGAATTCCTAACCAACAGAAACCCCAAAAGAGAATAAATATAGTTTTAAACTGGTAGGTTTGGGAATAATTCATTATGCAACATTAGATAACTTACATTGTATTCTAGTAATGGAGGTCTATAAATGAATATATGTAAGCAAGTTGGCCAAGGGTAGGAACAAAAATAATATCCGATGAGAGATGTGAATGATGGGCCAGTTAGTAAGAATTGCAAATAGGATTCATTATACATGGTTTAAGATAATTTTCTCAGTTAATAAAACAGCTTTCTCCTAGTAGTCAAAGTTGTGTTCTCATGAATCTTACCTTGAAATCCCGCTCATCTTCATATAGTAAATATTTCACATGAGAATCTCCAAACTCTGTGCATAAGGTGTCCTCTTCCCTTATCTTTAGATGCTGGTCATCTCTGATACCATCTTCATGACTGAGATGGAGAAGACTACTCCCAAATGATGAGCTCAACATGTCTCTACTTTCTGTGGGTTGCTTTTTTGTCTTTTCTTCTAGGATGAATGCAAATAAATTACTTTATTTGACAAAAACAAAATTATGACAAAGCAATACATCCTTTGTCACATTTTTAATTTGAAAGAGATTTGAGGATTAGAAAGGAAAAATTATGGATTAAAGTAAGGGAGGGCATTTTAAGGAACTCTTAAATTGTAATTCCTTCTGTTAGCTAATAAGTTACAGAGATCATTTGGGAATCTGTGGCTAAATTGGGAACTATGTCAATATAGGCAATACCCCCTCACTGTTCATTACCATATTTTTAAGTCATTATGAAACATGGTGAATTTGATTAGAAAGTGCCATGAGAGAGAGGAGACAGATTAGTTCAAGCATTATAAGGAGAGAAATCCAGAGGAGCTGGCCTGTATCTATTCCCTGAATAGCTCTTTTTTGTGTGTAAGTTGCTGCCTATAATATATGCTTAATAGCTATTTATCTAATTAAAAGAAAAACATGTCAACACCATTGTGACAAAATAATACCTATAAATGGTTCTGCAAATTCCAAAGACTTTTCTTCAGGTGGCAATTCCTGCCCAGTTGCTTGAGTAAGATACAGTCGCCTAAAAGAACAAACAAGAAAAACAGTCTTTCAGTCAGTAAATATTGTATTATGTGCTCACTAGTATCCACTTCTCTCCTGGGTGCTGGAGACACACAGAAAATAAACATAGGTATAGGGCACAGTGGGTGATATATAGTCCTACAGTATTTTAGAATAATTGTTTGTACCAAGATGGGTCATTGGCATAGTGTGAGAATGCTGGGGAGCAGAAAGACTGAAGCAGCATCTGAGTTAACCTTAGTGGATAGGGAAGGTTTCCTGGAGGAGATAAAACCTCAGCTGAGTCTTGAAGAACCAGAAGTTCACCAGGGAAGAGCTGGGAGTGAGGGAAGAACATTCTAAGATAGGGAAATAGCACATTTAAAGTTCCAGAAACAAGAATAAACATGACACCAGTTAGGTTGCTGTTGTTGTAATTCAGGTGAGGAATGACAGTGGCCTAAATGGGATGGATTTGAGATGAAGAGAACCATTGGAACCCAAGATGCCATCTGGGTCCTGGCTTTCCCTGAGTTACATGTTTTGGCTACAAGCCCAGCGAATTGAACTATCAAGTGTTACTGCCCTATAGTGGTACAGAAGTGACAATAAAAATAATTGTTAAGAGAGAGAAAGCTATATTTATAAAGGTTATGATATTTAGTAAGGTCTTAATTATTTGAAATGGTAAAGTCAGGAAACAATTCTATTGCCTCAGACATATCTGCCTATAGGTCAGAGCTAAATGTGAAATCAATCTACTAAATTGTCTTTATGTTTTAAATATGAACACATTGTATGTAACAGTATTTGCTGGAGCCATACGTGTCTGGATGACACTTTATTTATGTTCTTTAACTGAAAGCCCCTAATTTAAGGGATTTACTTTAGTTGCTGTGATGTAGGTATAAGGGATTTGCACATCTGCCAGGATCTCATTGCCTCATGCTCTTTTCAGGCAAATCTCATGGAAATGCCATATAGAGCTTTCAAGGAATCATATTTTCTTATTGAAAATTCAGGGGGCATTCTGAAAAGGAGAGCACAGAGAGGTGCAGCAGCATATGCTCATCAATTCATTGATTTCATCTTTTCCAACTTTGAAGCAAGACTTAGAAGCAAGAATTCCATGTTTCTCACTAAAGAAAACAAATCCCTAATACATTGGTGAACAATGTGGATTATACTAAAGATTTTCATGGAGTAGACAGAGAATAGAGTTAAATTGTACATTACACAGCAAAAAAAGTTAATGAAAATCCACATTAAATGTTTCACATCTGAACTGGTAACGTAGGTCAGTGGCAGAGCACTTGGCATAGCATGTGCAAAGAAAGCCCTGGGTTTGTGCTCCAGCACTGGAAAAAAAAAAAAAAGAAAAGAAAAGAAAACATATCGCTTTCTGTCCTTGCCAAGTCCTCTGCAGTCAATGAAAGAATTCTGTCTGTTATGATTATTACTAACTTCATATCAATGTCAGCACCAAATCAAATATACTAAACTAGGTTTACTGAAGCAGAAAAGTGGGAGCTGGCCATTTAGAAGGTAGCTCCCTCCTAAGGTTGACCAACTCAGAAAACAGGAAAATTAACAACAGTTCTAACAGTGGTTAGAAGCCACATACTTGCAATAGATGGCAGAGATTAAACGTGATCACAAAGAAGCCAGCAAGCAGCAGCAGCAGAGGATTAGAGGAAGGACAGGAATATTGAGCTAAGAGACCTGATTACAGAAGCATTGCCTACTGGAGAGCAGACAGGCACTATTTACCCCTTAGGGGCTCTCCAGGGCATCAGTGCAAGAGACTGGAAGTACAGATGTCTAGTAATCAATTCATTCAGCTTCACCATCTACATCATCTACATTGGTATCTACTCTTCCAGGAGCAGCAAACAATTGTGGAAGGGAGGCAGGTGGCTTCTTCTCTATCTTCTCCTATACAGCTTTCAGCCTTTAAAGGAATTACACTATCTCCCAATTTCTTTAATCTTATATCCATATACCCATAGCTTAGCCTGGAAAATAAGGAACCCACAACTTGCCTGTATCTACCTTTCTTGGAACAAAATAGGAAGTTTGTAATAACAAATACTTCGTCATGTATCAGAATGTATTTTTTCCATGTCACACAGCATTGGGAAATACTTGGGAGAAAATTTTTTCTTAGCTTCTATTGTATTCAGCTTAATGTCAAATTCCTAGATCTAAATATTTATTTCCCATACTCACACATGTACACCCATTTATGTGATTTTCCCTCTCTTCCTAAACATGCTACAATTCAGATTACTTCTTGTTTCTGACTATTCAAAGAATAAAAGTTACTTTTGATTTTAATTTCATATTCCAGGGTCTCTTTTTTTGGTCAGGTAAGAAAAAATCGCTAACTATATATATTATATACATACATATATACATATATATTTGGTTTCTCTGGTACAAGAACAAATGTGACTTGGAATGCTAGTCTGTTTTCTTCACTTCCAAAGTAGTTTACTATTTTGTCAGAGGAAATAATTCTGAGATAACCAGAAGGCCAGAACACTTCCAAAAAGCTTAGAGAAAGTTGGTTCTCCCCTCACCCCTCTCTGTGCTACGCTATACCTCATACATTTTCTGCTGCTCTGTTTAATTCTACCTTTAATTCTTTACCATTTTTATGGCTGTGTAGGCTTCTGAAGATTGACAGTTGTGATATTCATGGTTGTGTTATTGCGACTATAATGCATTGGTAGAAAAAATAAGTCAAAGTTTACACTGTACCAATCAATGGTCAATAGTGATAATCCTATACCCTCATTGTGGCCATTTTGTGAGTTCTTCTCTTTTTGATTATTGCAATCTGACTGAAGCACTGAAAATTTAAATTATCTTTTAAAAAAACAGAACTTTTTTACAGATGACAAATGTTTACCAAATACTTTCTAGATATGTTAATGACTTTCACCTGGGTATTTTAAGATCCACAAGTCTACAGTTGAACAGTTGATCAATAAGCACCAAATTTTCTTCTTCCAGTTCTTGAATAATATTTTCTAATTCTTCAACTTCCTTCCTGTGAATTGCAATCTGTTGTCAGAAGAAGAGAATGGGTATTGGTACTTATTGATTTAGATCTATAAGGACTTCTATAGCAAATTTAATTCCTGAAAGTGCATGTGCCTAAGGAGTAGCTCTATCAGTTATTATTTATTGCTGGGTTTGCTTTATCCTTCCTCTATAAGAAGGAATAGGTAGGACTCTTTTCTAGGTCATTATCAGAAACTGTTTCATTGTTAGGTAGCTCTTACAGGAAGCAGAATTTGTTCTTTTCTACCTTTATAAATACTGCTGAATTTATATAAAAGCTAGAGGCAGAGATTAATAAGAAAAGAAGACTAGATGAAAATCTATCTAAGGGTAATTATAAACAATACAATGAAAACACTGGAGGGAAATGCTATATTATAGTATTAAAAAAAAAAAGAAGCAGCAGCATAGACCTTTCTATTAGACCCCATAAAACAATTATGTTCTAAGTGCTGGGGTAGTTCTGGAAAATGGCAGGTAGATGAAATACTATTTGTTCATTCATTCATTCAATTTTTTATATGCCTACTATGTGCCAAAAACAATATTATGCTTTGGAAACAAATGAACAACATGATAACAATAGCTTTCTTAGGATCTCTTAGCCTAGTGAGAAAATGGAGATAAAAATAGAAATCAATGTGATAAAACCATAATGGAAGCTGTCCTGCTGCTGTGGGAGAAGAGAGAGATGAACACTATTTCTGTCAGGTGTCCAGATAGGGAGAATTCATAGAAGAAATAATATCTAATCCAGATCTTGAAAGCCGAGTAGAGATCCCTCAGGCAGATGCAAGAAGTTGCTTTCTAGGTGGAAGGAACAACATATGCAAAGGCACAGTTATTTTGATGTGGATACATGCAAAGTGGCAGCAGAGAGAAGCAAGAGAAGAAGTGGACAATCAGGATCAAACAAAGCTAACGAGCCTGGGTTTTATCCTCTAGGCGATGGCAGGTAATGCTAGACACAACAAGCTTAGTTAATGTTTACTGAAGAAATAAAATATGAATAAAAGTTGGCAGTTCTGTTGATTGAGTTTTCATCAGTCCTTAAGAAGTATATTTTGGTAAATTTTGACTAAAGAAGGCTTGATAATGGTAAGAATATATCAAGGAGTGTTATTAGATAGAACCCCCAACTCACATCTCTGCCACTGAAAGCAGTTAGAGCAATATAGAAGAAGACCTATAGCAATATAAATCTTCATGGGGAAGGATCAGAAAGATAGAAGAATTAGAACTAAGAGTATACAACAGAAAGTGGTAGGCTGATGAGGATAGTAGGAGGACAAATAGGAGGCAGTAATGCAAGTTTGAGGGAATGAGTTGAAACAATGAAGGCGCAGAATTTAGATTCACTATTTCTTGTCAAAAGTTGCAGAGAATAGAACTCAGATGAGTACATGGAAGAAAATAACTAACACATTCTGCTTTGTTACTGGGATCTAATTGTATTTTAAAATCTTGAAGCATTTGATATATTTCCACATGCATAGTTCTATCACTCAAGTCATTTATTAAATATATGAAATCTTGTGTAGACAAGATTCTGAGCTATAAGTAGAAAACAAAGGTGAGTAAGTCATGTCTCCTTCCCTCAAGACAGTTTATAATCCCATAAACAAAATCACAAATAGTTATAAAGTAATACCAGTGTCACAGAAAAGGCTCAAACACTGTTGGTGGCTTTGAGTTAGAAAGAAAAGCATATGTTATTTCCTGCATAAAACAATTTAGCAAAATCATTTGAATTCATAATACAAAATTACAAAGCCAGATGTTGGTATTCAAGGATCTCATATGTTGAGAAATAATTAACTTGATTATAAGCTTGAATGCATTAAGGAGAAGTTTATGATTTTCAAATGTCAAAGAATAAGAAACAAATTAGAGTTAGAGGTTGTAAGCAGAGAAAAATACTAGAACATTTGGAAATGTTTGACCTAAGGGCTTGGCATGTTTGGGAGGTAACACACATAGTTCTTGGTCTCTTTCCAAAGTTAGGAATGAGATCCTTTCTGGAGAGTTACATCCAGCTTTTCAGGCTAAAGATATCCACAATATCATCTTCCCTTTTAAAGTTCTCAGTAATGTTCTCATCAATTGTTGTCTCCCTCTCTGCCTTTTAAAATATTAGGAAAATTTAAACTGGTTCCTCTTCACAGTCATATAAGTACCTTTAGATTTCTGGGATAAGACAGTGAAAAGGAGGAAAAAGTGAAATACTACTTGTCCCCAAATAGCTAAGAAATGTAAATAGAAATTAGAAATTGAGAAAGATAATTTAGTTAAAATTATTATATAAGTCAGGGACCTAGAAGATCTACTTAAGCTGATGTCTCTTCATACTTGACATTCTGATTGCTAACTTCCTAGAATTCCTCTGTCTCCTTTCTCTGGCTTTTCATTTGTTAAATTAGTCCAAGTTGTTAGAAAATTCCAATTCTCATTTTCTTCTTAAGTATGTTAAATAAAGCCAGAGAATGAAAATCGTGCAGTAGAGCATTTCTGTATCCTTCCCAGAGATCTAAGGTTTTGGTTATTGTTGTAAAAATAGTTAATTGGAAAGATGTTTCCAGAAGTTCCATTATTAAATATTCTTTGTTACTCATTCTAAACCTTCCTCAAAGAAATTTACATACATTTTGTTCTGTTTCCAATTTTTAATTCTTATGATAATATTTTAACTGGAAATAGTTTTCATTAATCTTTTGAATAAATTTAATAATACTAAAATGAGTAATTATTGAACTAATGAGAAATTAAATCTATTGAATTTTCTTATAATGATTTGTCCTTTATTACCAACCTCTTTTTGTTGGTGATTCAATTAAACTTGATATTTTTCTCTTTTATTTCCATTGAATTTTGAAAAGGAAAAAATATTTTAAAAGTAAAACATAATTTGTGACTTTAGCAGAAAGAGCCAAGGCACCAATTTTTCTTATCAAATATAAATTTTGTAGTAATTTCCCCTAAGCCTAAAATCTATAACATCTTATGAGTTGTATAATTATTATTATAGGATCATGCTGTTATATTTTAAAAAATTGTAAGAACTAAATTTATCCCTAATATACTCTTTAATTATTAAGCCCACCTTGATTTATTTTTAAATTATTGATACCTTGCTTTAAACTGGAGAGTTATTCTGATGAGTTTTTGGGGATAGTATGAATTTCTATTCATCACAATTTTATCTTTGTTTTATTTACTTATTTACTTGGGTACTAGGGATTGAACCACTGTATTACATCCCTAGTCCTTTTTATTTTTTATTTTGAAACATGATCTTGCTAAGTTCCCCAGGATGTTCTTGAACTTGGTTCAATCTAAACCAATCTCCTGCCACGGCTTTCTGAGTAGCTGGGATTAGCCATGTGCCAGCACACCTGACTCACCAAGACTTTATAAAGGAATTTTAAAGATAGTTGTAAGTACTATAGAAAGCATATAAATTGTTTTAATTCCTTGTTTCTTAGACTCACTAACTACTTGGTGAAATAGAGGATAAGGAAAAGGAAAGAGGAGAAGCTGACAGATGGTAGAAAAGGAAACATAGAAAAACAAAATTTAAGGATGAATTTAGTAAGTCCTGCCATGGAATATCTACCTGGGAATATTTGGCAGACAAATACAAATGTGGGTTCAGAGCTGAGAGTACACATAAGTTAGTGCTGAAGATATACATTCAACAATCACGAAAGATTAGCTCACTAAAACCTGTGTGTAGTTTGAAGTGAATTTTCTCAAAAAGTACTGATTTTGGTTTTATAGATAGCAATTAAAAACAGGCTAGGTGGTTACCTTGTCTGTATGTAAAGGAAATTTCAGGGAACAGAAGGGCTATTGGCCAAGTTACCACCATCTCCAGAATCCAGAAACACTCAGGCTGTTCAAGAGTTCAGTGAATCTGTTACCCACAAGGTAGAGTCTAACCTGCCTATATGCAAAGCAGGGCCTGACTGATTTCTGGAGAACATGCTTCCTGGCACCTCTGAACTGACGGAGAACCTGGAATGGAGTGTTTTTAAGCAGAAGACTGACACAATCAGGTTTATGTTTTAGAAAGGTATCTCTAGGGTAGTGTAAAGAACAAAGGGGAAGTGTCTAGTCCAGAGGGAGGAAAATCAGGTAAGATGCAATTGAAAGATCTGTGTAAAAGATAATGGATCTGTACTAGGGCAATGGAAAAAAAGGAAAGGCGAGGTGGTCACAAACCTGATCTGCTGGAATGAAGAGGCATTCTGCATATCAGAAGAGAAGAGGACATTTCTAAGGCACTCCCAAGTTTCTGGCTTGGGTAACTGGATAATGGTGGGATCCTCAACAAGGACAGATAGCATGAGGAGGGTGTTTGTGGCAAGGGGGAAGATGAATTCAATTTAGAGATTGGAGATGTCTGTGATGCATTTAGGTGGAGTTTCACAGCTGGTTGTAGATAATGTGGTTTTGGGGCCTAGAAGTGAGAACAGTTTCAATCTGGATGCTTTTTAGGCCTGCAAAACAATTATCTCAGACATTTCTTCTGTGGTGTACTGGGAATTACATTGTTTCCTGTTTTTCTCTTGCTTAGTTTACAGTCTAGTTTTGCCGAAGTGCATTGTTTAAGTAAATTCCTGAGGAAGACTGAGAAATAAATATTTTGAGCTCTTGCATTTCTGAAAACAGCTTTATTTTGCCCTTAATCTAGCTTAGCTGAGTATAGAATACCAATTTGAAAATAATTTTCCATCTGCACTTTGCCATTGAAAAATCAAATGCCATTTGGTTCTTATTCCTCTGCAGTTAATTTCCTCTCCACCCCTTCAACCTTCTGCCAGAACAGAAACCTTTAGGATTTTCCTTTTGTTCTTGATGTTCTGAAAACTCTTGTTCTTTTCAGCACCCAGAAAATTTCTATTATTTCATTCATAATTTTCTTTACTTTTTTATTTCTGGAATTGGTCCTTGGATATTGTACATCTTACATTAGTACTCTATGTCTTATCCACCACCAT